GAAGAAGAAGAAGAAGAAGAAGAAGAAGAAGAAGAAGAAGAAGAAGAAGAAGAAGAAGAAGAAGAAGAAGAAGAAGAAGAAGAAGAAGAAGAGGTGCTTCAAAGCTTCTTGCTTAAATCTGTTTCTATCTTTTGCAACTTCCTCCCTCCCTCTAAAAGTGTAGAATTGTTGCCTTCATTCCCCCTTTCATGTAAAACATAAAAGTTCAAAGGAACTGTGAGGGAATGGGTGCGGGTGGGAGAGAAAAAGTGTGGTCCTTATTTGCCAGCCTTTCAAAAAAGCCTTCCTCAATTTCAATCCCTTACCCCAACCCTTTAGGCATCCCTACCCAACACTCCATCAGTTCAGGTCAGTTTGGGGGAGTGGCGGACGCTGGGGAGGGGAATCTGCCTTTTGCCCCAAATCCCAGCAAGCGAAGAAAAACTTTCCTTACACTGCCCTCAACCGCCCTTTCTCCAGAGTGGGTCAAAAACCAAGGTGGATCCACCGTTAGAAGCTCCTGATTGGCAGGGGAGATGGCAGAAGAGATGTTCTAATTGGAGAAGAGATTTTTTACACCCTTGCCAAGGCCTTCCTCCCTTGCCTCTTTCAGCCCAACAACTCGTTTTTTAAAACCTAGAGCGAGGAGAAGATGGCAAGAGAGTTTACAACCTCCAAGGCCTCCAACGTTTGAAGACAAGGGAAGGGTCGAAAGAGAAGACCTAGTAGATTTTCTCCTTTCTTAAGTTAGAGGAAGGCCAAGAAAACTTTGGGTGAGGGGGGGGAGAGAAAATAAAAGCCGGCATCAGTTCACTGAGGGGGTGCAACAAAGCCCAGCTCCTGAAAATGATGCTAAACACGAGCTCTTTTAACCAAATACCACCAAAGTAGCCAACAATCTTTCTCCAACGTTTTTTTTAATGGTGGGGTGGGAAGAGAGAGAATCTTAGAAAGGAATCTGAATTCACCAGCTGCCCCCTTCAGAAGCAGGCACAAAGAAATGCCATCCACCACAACAATATGAAAAAGAAAAAGAAAAAAAGAAAAATAGCTCTTAATAGCAGCGCTCTTAAAGAACATCGGATCAGGAGGGAAGGAAAGGATCCGTGGTTGATATTAGAACAACTAGAGGCCTAACCAAGCAGAAAATTTGCCAGGCTGGTTCAAAAGGCCACAGGGCTATATAAGGAGAGCCTGCCTTTTGGAAACGCACCCCATTAAGTCCAATGCTCCCACTGGAGGTGAAGAGGTGCCCTAAAGTATTTTGCAGACCCTTCTAGGCGGATTTTTAACACTGTATGTCTTTCTCTCTTCCTTACCAAAAAAAAAGGGAGAGGGAGAAAAAAAAAAGAAAGAAATTGAACCTATACAAATATTCTATCCATTGGAAAAACAATTTCACACCTTAAAATGACCACAAGCAGCTCAAGACCTCCGATCTGATTATACACTTCACACCCATCCTAATATTGTGATCTTTCTCAATTAAATAATAAATCGTAATCTAGAGTGACATTTCCTACTTTTACACGGAAGGGGGAGAAGTAACTTTTCTTCTTCTTCTTCTTCTCCCTACTCATTCTGTGAAATTAAATTATTTGTGATTACAGAAGGGGGGGAGGAGGGGGGGAGAGAGAGGCTAAACCTGCTCCAGGTAACATTTTGGAAATTTAATGTTTTTGTTTTGTTTTGTAGAAAAAATATCAGAGCTGAACCTCCCTGCCTTCCCAGCCATCAGCAATATTTCCTTCCATTCTGCAAATTAAAACAGAACTGCAATATCCAAGCTCCCTTTTAACGCCATTTTTGACCATATCTAAGTAATCCAACCTATATAAAGAGAAGAAAAACAGTGGCACACACAAATCACCCCTTCAGGCTTATTTCCCCACCAAGACAGTTAGGAGAGTCGTACAAATGGTCAGATATCAAATAATATTTTAATTTCTGAATACTTTCATTTTTTTTTCCTTGGAATATAACACACAAAGACTGGACCAAACAGTTTTCAGTTATTATAACTTTTACAGTATACAGAAATGTTGCACTTAAAAAAAAAACCTTCAGTTTTTTTTCTTTAAAACACAAAAAACTGTAAACTCTAAAGTACTGAATCAACCACATTATCTATAAGTGCCAACAGTAGTGTTATTTTTTTTGTCATGCTGAATTCAATGGGGTTTTTTTTCTTTTTCTTTAAAAAAAGGGAAAATATCAACAAGTATTATAATACAAAGAGCTTGCAAATATACAAACAGATAGAGGAACTCGGACAACTAGGCGGAACCCAATTTCATTCAAATTACAAAAAAGTTAACTTTGTGATGAGTCTCTCTGTGATTTTCTGTGTACATATATGTATGCATGTTTTTTTTTTTTACCAAAACCATCTTGTGTCTTGGACACAATCTGCCTTCAAAAAAATACCCAATTCCTTTCCAAAATCCATATTTTGCCATATATGCATTTATGTGTTTTTGTGTGTATATATGTGTGTGCATTGTATTTACATAACACACACACACACACACACACACACATATACATATATACATACATCTCCCCTCAGACGGGGTACAGGCAGGTTGATCGTGGTTCACTTTAATAATAATAATAAAAAAGCTATAATTATAGTAGTAGTAGCTTGAAGCTAAATTTTTGGCTGACCGGATTTAAGTGCGCTTCCATCTTTCTAGAATTATTTTGGGGTGGGGGGGTGTCTTTATTCCCAATTTTATGTTCTTCTCAGAAACCTTTCCAAGACAGTTTTAATTCTTTCAGAACATATACTTTTTAAAGGATACACAGTTCTTTAAAAAAAAAAAGAAAAGAAAAATGAAACCAAGATTATATCAAAATTATTATAGAACCACAGAATAAACTGGTTTGGAACCAGGATTTCTTTTAAAAAAAACCCAAAACAAAATCCTATAGGTACACAGACAATGTTGGACAAATCAATAATTTGGAGAGAGAGAGAGAGAGAGAGAGAGAGAGAGAGAGGATGAGAGGGGGGCAATAGAGGAGAGACAGAAACAGAGAGAGAAATAGACAGGAAGAAAGAGGAATTTTCCCCATTATGTTAATTTTCTACAGGTTTGCTTGTTTTTAAAAAAATGCACTTTTAGTGAGAGGTTGCATTTCGAAGTTTTAACACCCCCTCGAAAGAAAGAAAGAAAGAAAGAAAGAAAGAAAGAAAGAAAGAAAGAAAGAAAGAAAGAAAGAAAGGTTTTTTTTCAAGCGAAAGAGAGAAAAAGAGAGAAATAGTAACTTGTGAAAGACAAGGGAATTTTAATGCATTGTGTAAAAAGTCCATTGAACAAGTCTCTCTTTTGTTAAAAAAAAATCCATAGTCCATTCAAATTATTCTCCTCTCTTCTTTTAGATGTGACATCCTTGCTTAACCGAAAGGACGTTTACACAACCGCCAGACCCAAATGTCACTCGCGATTCCTCTGTTCCAATTTTTTTTCCATTGTGTGTGTGTGTGTGTGTGTTTTGTTTTGCTTTTGTCCAATTCTCTGATTTGTGGAATTATTATTTTTTTCCTCCTCCTCTCTCCAACATATTTTTTTTCTCTCCCCTTTTTCTCTTATTGGATGGCCATATACGGCCAGTTAAAACTGCTTCCAGACAGTAGCATATCTCTGATAAGGGTTTCTATGGGGGTTTTACCTACCAAACGGACGAAAAACAATTGCTCTATGACCGAGGAGGAGACGGTGCGAAGAGAGGGGAGGCGTAACAACAGTTTCCCAAAACGGGTGGGCTGGTTTGGATACTGGCTCCTGACGTATTCTTCCAAGGCGCACTGAGACTTCTCCTGTAAACTTTCAACGTGCGCTACGTCGGATAGACCACACGCATCTAGAAGAAAGGGGGGGGGGGGGTTCAAAGGAAAAAAAAAGGGGGGGGGAGGAACCATCATCAGTGTTAAATAAGACACGGTTTGCTTGTACAAATGGACACACAGACCCATCCTTGCCACCAATTGCAAGCGTGGTTGAATTCACTGCGACGACTTGCTATCCTAACCCAAAAGCCCCTGTGCAAAATGGGTAGGCCTTGCACCCCGATTAGAAAGAGGTTTAGCCCCCCTCACAAAAAAAAAAGGCCTTAAGATTATTATTTTTTTTCCCTCTGGATTTGGGTTCCGGCTCAGCTCAGCCCCACCAGGGTCTCTTGCACGCCCGCTCCGGTGGGCTTTCCCTTCTCGACCCTCGCAAACCCTCCCTTGCACGCACAATCCAGCGCCCCAAATCCAGCCTTTTGCACACTTTCCCTCCTGCACCTGCGGTGAAGCGACTCTTAAGGGTCAACGAAACATCGAAACATCGCGGGACTTTCTCCCGAGGAAACCTGTTTTTGAAGCTACCGAGGAGCTTTCTTTGGTGTTTAAAGTCTGTCTATCTGTCGTTCTCTCTCTCTCTCTCTCTCTGTGTGTGTGTGTGTGTGTGCTTGATTGAGGAAGTCAGCACGCTAAGCACGTGCTGAAGCCCCCTCCTGCAAGGGCGCCGAGGTTTCTAAATCTTAATTGCCCCCTCCCTTCCTTAAATTCTTGGAGAAGGGCGGGAGTCTGTCGCCCTCTTTCCCCCCCCACCCCAACCTGCACGGATTTTAAATTAATTTATTTATTTTTGGCATGGTGTTAGGAAAAGGGAAGATCGTGTGTGCCCCACCAAAAAAAAACATATTAGGAAAAATAAATGATGCAGAACCTAACAGACAGAACACGAGAGCGTTTTAAAGAAGGTAGGTTCAGAAATTAGCTCTGCTCAGCTCCAGAGAATTGAGTGGAAAGAAAGAAAGAAAGAAAGAAAGAAAGAAAGAAAGAAAGAAAGAAAGAAAGAAAGAAAGAAAGAAAGAAAGAAAGAAAGAAAGAAAGAGAAAGAAAGAAAGAAAGAAAGAAAGAAAGAAGCGATTTCCCCTAAAAGAGATACCGCAGTTTCTCCTCCAGTCTTTGAAAGTGATTTAAGTGGTCCTTTAAAACTGATCTTGTCAGTTTAGCTTATTCAAGGGCAGCCAAGCAGAATCTGATCTCTCTCTTCATTAGAGCTCTTTTCTCCCTCTTCCCCTCTGCTGGGTTTAACACTCACATACACAAACACACTCACCACATATAATATATAAAAATAAAATAAATAACGGTTCCACATTTGACAAGCTAAAATACAATGAAAGCCCCCTTTTAATCAAAAGCTGCCTTGACTCTGGTTGTGACCTTAGCTGGCTGGGTAAAGTACCAACACATGCATATTTTGAAAAACATTTAGAAACCCTGTCCAGGATCTATAGAAAAGGCCCAGGAAGAAGAAGAAGAAAGGACAGACAGACAGACAGACAGAACAAGAAAATCAGACGACTCTTTGCTGGCTTTCCAATACATGCCAGGCCCTGCGGTATATATATTAGGGCGGCTGAATTGGTCAGTCCTGCATCCTTTCCGCCCCCCTCCTCATTTTATAACTCCACAAAATCAGATAACAGAAGTTTTATCTACCTTGCAAAGGCAATTTACATACAGATCCCTATTTTGCAAACAGTCATAAATCTTGTGCTTTAAGGGCAAACCGTGCCTTGAAGTGTTTTCCCGGAAAGGGGAACAATATTAATAGCACTAATTGCAATCATAATCATAAATGCGGGAGATAAGGAGAAGGAGAAAGGAAGAGTTTGAAGGGAAGGCCCTAAGAATTCTTCCTCTTTTAAAAGACACTGAGGTACAGAGAGAGAGAGAGAGAGAAAAACTCTACAAACATACCATCTCACGCACACTCACACTTCTTTCTAGAATTGTTTCTGACAACCAGCCACGTTTGGAACTCAAGCCGATTTGGGTGGGGAACAAAGATTTGAAGGGGGGGGGGGGAAATGCAATTATGGAAAGCAATAATATATAAAAGGAAGTTCAGGTCATGACCTAAATTTTGGACAAAGTCCAGGAAGGCACTTGGTTTCCCCCAGATCTCCCTTAACACAACAAAAAAACCTGAATTGTGAGACTTTATTTTCTCATATAAACTGCACTTAGCTAGGCCAGTTTCCTGATATTTCTATATATATATATATATATATATGCATTTCCACAAGCCTTGCCTGCATGTATATGGAGTGAACGGTTTTCCCAGGGTTCTTTACTAGGTAGGAAAGAAGACATTTTAAGATATGACTTCAACTGCTTTCTCTGGGCTATCAGGCAAACGTTGGAGACTTGATCTCATGAATTATTATTATTATTATTATATTACTCCGTGTAGTATAAAAGACAGACATGATTTGAAATATTTCACCTCCAGAGTTAGCCCCAGATGTTTTACTCAACCAGATTGAACCGTGGCTTATTAGATTTCATCATACCTTCCATTGTTGTTTTATAACTGTAGCACTATTTTTATACAGGAGAAAGTTGACACAGAAATATATTCTCTCCCTAGTTAGAATTCCCGCCCCTCCATGCCTGATGGTTCAAATGGCCTATTTTCTGCTTTTATGACTTGCTAAAATGGACAGAAGAAGAAAGATCCTTGAATGCTGCCATTTCTGAATTACAGTGGCCTTATATTATATACTGCAGTTACTGAGGGGGGGGGGGAATACGTTTAGGAAGGTTTGATTCAGAGCTCTGGTTTGGGGGGGCAACACTTTAAATATGTGTGGCGCACACATTACATTTTAACTTATCGTGTTTTCTAAATTAAGGACAAAACCTGTCTCATTGTTTAGACACGGTTAGTAGGCCAATAGTTGTTATAGTGTAAGATTATCTGCTCTAACCACGTCTAGGATCCAATCAGGTTTGTTTATTGATGATGGCGGTGGTGGTGGTGGTGGTGGTGGTGGTTATTATTATTATTATTAAGCTGAGCGGTCTGTCTCCTGGCTTGGCGAACTTAATTTTTCTTTTTATTGAAGCAAAGTTTGTTCATCGTCTCCCCTGCTTTTTTTTTTTTTCATTTGGCTGACCATTGTCATTTAGCACCTTCCCGTCTTGCAATGGTCTCAAAATATGAATCTGGGCTGTTCTTGTTCTCTGGACACAAAAGCCCATCTCTCTGAGCTTAGTGGGACAACTCTACAGATAACTCCAGCACACACACACACACACACACAGCGATTCAGAGGGGATCCATTAAAATAAAACAGGGCCCTTTGGTCTAGACCCCCAGGTCCCTACAATTTTTATCCAATCTCCTACTACATAGTTTCTTGATTTCTTTTCCTTTAAAAAAAAAAAAAAACACCACGAAAAGTCTTTTCTAATGAAAAGAACTTTCCAAACTTTAACCTTAGGCCTGCACAGCTGACACAGATATAAGAAGGAGACAGCCCCCCCCCCCTCAAACCACAGCTCTAATCCCCCTGTCTCTGTCTCCCACCCCCCACCCCAAAAGCCAACCAACCCACAACAAAACGCCCCAGAGAGCTCTGTCCTCCCCCACCCCTGGCCTTTCCCATTTCTCTTAGGAAAATCGAGAAGAAAGGAAAGAGGGAAAGGGAGAGGCAGGCTCCTTTCCGAGGCCCGAATCCCGCTGCCCACCAGCACTGGGGAAGGCAAGAGGCAACCAACCACCCCCCCCACCCCCCAGCAGAGGCCGCCCCCTACCTGAGGTGAAGAGGACAATCGCCTTCAAGCAGCTGTATTCCGCCGAGTCCACGTGTAGGGCTTTGAGTTTCTCCACCTGCTCCTGGAAAATGCGTATGTGGTCCATAAAGGCGACCACGCGGTCGGCGGACATGGGCGACGCGTGGAGGCCGGCGGCGGCCAAGAGCGGGGCGACGTGGAGAGGCATGGCGCACTGGGCAGCGTTGAGGACAAACAACTCGCTCCAGGTGAGCCTCAGCAGAGCCACCTGGTCGGTGATCTGGAGGTCGGGGAAGAAAGGAATGTTCCGAGCCCATTCCACCGCGCTGAAAAGCATCCGGGCGGCCAACTCACAAATGTTCTCGATGCCCATGATGTTGTTCGGCTGCATGCACTGGCTGCCGAAGCGAGAGGTCGGGTAAGGCTCTGCGCGCAGCAAGAGGGAAATATATCCGGAGAGGTACGAATGACAGTTCAGGGGGTCCCCGTTGGTTAAGGCGAACTGGCCGTGGGTCGGCTGTGTAGGTGGCATTCTGCCCCTCTGGACGGCTGCCGTGAATAAAAAAGAAACTACAGCAATTAATACCTGCATTGCTAAGGAAGGCTGAGGGGGAGGAGGAGGAGGAGGAGGAGGAGGATGGTGGTGGTGGTGCTGGTGCTATCCGAACTACAGCTGGCTGGCTTTCTGGGGAGGTGGGGGGGGGGAGCAGGAGGGAGATGGAGGGGAGAAGGAAATCCGAGGGACCCGGGAAGGAAGGTCAAGACACAAAAACCCCTTTCTGCACCGACTGGAAGTACATGTTTATTTGTGTGATAGCTGGGTTGCGGGGGGCCACACAGATCTGGACGTGGAAGGGAGACTAAGAATGTTTAGGGTTTCATCCCGGGTGTGTGTGTGTGCAATGCTAAGAGGGCGACCCCCCCCTCCTCATCCAAGCAGAAGCTGTTTGGAAACGCCTGGGCGTGAAATTGTCCCACGTTTTCAACCAGCCTGCCTGCTGAAACCTTCTCGGCCTTGTCCTTCCTAGAAGCCCTTTCCTTGCACACACACACACACATATACACACGTTAAAATAATCATAAAAACAAAAAGCAAAAAGCAAAGGGGAAAAATATCCGCCAGGCCAAGACATAAAGAAAGAAAGAGAAGGGGGGAGAAACAGGCCTGAGGGGGAGAAGGGAAAAAAAAAGCAGCAAGCAGGCCAGCAAAATAAATACACAATGCCGGCGGGCTAAGGGGGAAAATGTAGGTCCTCCGGACCCTATTGTTATATTTTCTCCGCTGCTCCCAGCCGTGGGGGGCGAGAGGAAGCGGAGGGGGCTTCTGGAAAACTCTTCTGCAGAAAGTGGGCCTTTGGTTTTGTTCATAAATTTACATGGTGGTGACAAGAGGAGAGAGAGAGAGAGAAAGAGAAAGAGAGAAAATGAAAGAAGCCGAGATTCGCGGCAAAGAAAGCCGAATTAAGGCAGGGCTAAGCGGGGTGCGTGTGTGCGCGTTTGCCTGCAGCCTGACCCCTCACGTTTCCCAAAGCCGGCGAGACCCCCTCGAAGTGGGAAAGCTGCTTTCAACAGCCCACCCCCCACCCTACCCCCCAAAAACCCCATTCAACCCGGGGCGGCTGAAAGAGTGGAAGAGGCGCGCTACGCCATTAACAAGAAGCCGTGCCTCGCCTTTCGCTCGCCGAGCTTTTCCGCCGCGGCGCTCCATCTTGCGGAGAGAGAGAAAGAGAGAAAAAAAAAAGGAGAACAAAAATACAAAATAAAAATAATTTTTTTTTAAAAAAAAAAATCCCCGCTCGCTGCTTCGACTCCCTTTAAACGGCTTTCCACGCTTCCGAGATCGGCTTCGCGTCGTCCTCACCGCCCCCCGCCTCCCCTCAAACCCCGGATCCTCGCCGCCTGAGCTTCCCAACGCCTCCCCTCCGCCGCTCCCCAGTCACACGTTACACAAAACGAGCTACCTCTTAAAAGCAGGGAAACGGGGAACGTTTTTTATCGCCATCTCCCCAAGGCCGAAAGGACCTCGTGGAAGAAAAAAAAGCACCAGCCTTCTCCGGAACCGAGCAAAACCCAAGTAGAACCTGCCGGAAATTTCCGAACGGAAGCCCCGATCGATCGATCGATCGATCGATCGACCCGGGATTTATTTATGGGTTCTGGTTATTTACAGAGCAGGAACCGAAAGGAAGAAGGCTGATGCGGAGGAGGGAGGGAAGGAGGAAGGGGAGGCGAGAGAGAACAAGGGGAAGAAGTTTACGTAGCTAAGATTGCTTTCATTCCCGGGATCTATCCCAGCTACGGGAGACACCCCAATCCCCCCTCCCGCCCCCCCCCCCACGCGAGCCATTTCGAGGAGGATGGAAAGCGGGAAGAGAGCGCGAAGAGAGAAAAGTTGTTTGCCTCGGGGGTCGGGGAGTCTTCAGGAAAGCCATTTTAGCCCTTCCAACCTCCCACCCGGAGCCCAAGAAACTCCAAGCGGGTTTCTCTCCCCTCGCCTCATTTCCTCCCATTTCAGGAGAACAAACCCAGACCAGGGGCTTATATTTAAAAAAAAAAAAAAGAAAGGAAGGAAAGGAAAAGTGCTAAAAGCCCCTCGACTTCGTGCGCCAAAACAAAACAGACTTTAAAATAATAATAATAATAATATGAATAAGAACAAGAACAGCCACCACCAAGTTCTCCAGACCTCCCTCCGCGGGCTGGATTTCAGGTTTGAGAGGGGACCCTGGCATCCCCGGAGGGGCTGTTATTATCCCCGCCTCGACTGTGCCCCCCCCCCCCCCCCGCCGACGGATGAGAAATGGAAAACAAATGAAATTCCAATACCTTCCCGTCTCATGCCAACCTTCAGGCATTTCTTGAGGCGACAATATTGGCATTGGTTGCGGTGATGTTGGTCAATGGGGCAGTTCCGGTTGGCGCGGCACGTGTAGCTCAGGTTCCTCCGGACGCTCCGCTTGAAGAAACTCTTGCAGCCTTCGCACGTAAATTGCCCGTAGTGTTTGCCGCTAGATTTGTCCCCGCACACCACGCATTCGATGTGCTGCTGTTGCTGTTGCTTCTCGCCTTGGTTCTGCTGGCTGCCCGGGTTGGTTTGAGCTGGTGTGCTCGGGGGCCCTCCTTGGACGGGCGTCTGTGGGGTATGGGGGGCGCCGGTAGGAACTCCCGGCACCGGGGGAGCTTGCGGAGGCTGCGTTCCTTGCGGGCCGGTCACATCGTCCTGCGGGTCTCGCCAGGTGGCCACTACCATTGCCATATCTAAGGGACACCGTGGCCAAATCGCGCGGCCCCCCGTCGCTTGCTTGTGGCCGCCGGATCCGCTTTTCCGGCCGGTTGCGCCTGTCCTTGGGTAGCCGAAGCGAGCTGTGGCGGTCTAAAGAGAGAGGGAGGGGGGGTGGTGGTTTTCCGCTTTTATTTGTAGTCTATTTGCTCTCCCCCCTCCAGCCTTTTTCTCTCGCAGGTCACGCTGGCAAAGTTAATTCTGGTTTTCTTGGTTTGGAAGTTGCTCCGGAGGAGAAGGGAGCGCGTTGTAAACGGCGACGGTGGCGGTTTTCTTTTAATTTTTTTCCCGTCTCTCTCTCTCTCTCTCTCTCGCTCTCTGGTTGGGTTTCTTCCCCCACTCTCCTTTTGCCGGTCCTTTCGTTCAGTTTAATTTAACGCTTTGGGTGGAAAGGGTGCTGGTGGTGAGGGGGGGTGGAGAGAGAGATGGTAGAAAAGATCGCACGGCTCTTCTCCCCCCAGTTACGATGGCAAAATAGTAAATAAATGCGGGAAGCAGACACGCACGCACGCACGCAGCAGGCAGGCAGCCGAAAGTGGGGTTGAGAAAGGGGGAACGCGGACGAATGGACGGGAGGAGAAAGGAAAAAAGGAAAAAAAAAATCAGGCGAGGAGGAGGAAGGCGCGAGGCGATTGTCTTAGCAAAAGGGGAAGAAAAGTTAAAAAAATAATACAAAAGAGGACGGCTGGGGGGGGGGGGGAGAGAGAGAGAGAGAGAGAGAGAGAGAGCGAGCGGTTCCCTTCAAAGATCTCTCCCTCCCTCTCTCTCTTGAAGCCGACCCGAGTTGCAAGAACAGAGGCGGGGGTCTGGGGGCCAGATCCAACGAAGCCCGCAGTCAGCCATTCAGAAAAGCCATGGAAAGCAAGCAAGCCAGGCGGAAGCCCGCAGCAGCTCGCAGGAGGCGCAGGCGAGCCCAGAGAGAAATCCCACGCTCGGCACGCCGGCCCGCGGACCCGGCCTGGCTCCTGCTCCTGGCGGGGTTTCGATCAGATGCCCCGCTCGGAGTTTGGCGAAGCTGTAGAAACATCAACCGGGGAAGAGGAGGAGGAGGAGAAGAGGAGGAGGAGGAGGAGGAGGAGGAGGAGGGGAGGGAGACGGGGCGGGCGGGCGGGGGGGGGGGTTGAAAGGAACCAAACAAAAACCACACGCGCGCGCGCTCCCACTCACACACGCACTCTCCACGCGCTCACGCACCCGCGCGCGCGCTCTCTCTCTCACACACACACGGCCACACGCGCACCCCCTTCTTCCTCCCTTCCTTCCCCAAAATCGGAAGTCTCTCCCGGCTTCTCCTGCGCTCGGCTTGGCTCCTCTTTGGCCGTCGGCTGCTTCCCTTCTTCTTCTTCTCTTCTTTTCTTTCTCCTCCTCCTCCTTTCTCCTCCTCGGCTGTGGCTACTCCGGCTCTCGTTCCCTTTTCCTCCTCCTCCTCCTTCTCTTCCTCCTCCTCCTTCTCTTTCTCCTCCTCCTCCTCCTCCTCTTTTCCCTGCTGCTGCCGCCGCCGCGGCCGCCGCTGCTGTCGTCGTCGCCGCCGCCGCCGCCGCTTGCCCGCGCCTTATGCTACTCCCGTTTCTTTCGCAAGTGGGTCTCTTTAGCAAATCTGCTTCCTCGCACAACACATGGGGCGATAAGGGGAGGAGGAGGAGGAGGAGGAGGAGAGGGAAGGGGGGAGGGCGGGCGGGCGGGAGGCGGCGGGACTGGAGGAGGAGAGAGGATCGGGGGAGGGAGGGAGGGAGAGCGAGCCAGCCAGCCAGCCAGCCGGCGAGGGGGGCAACCGGCGTGAACTCTCTCCAGGCTTAAGAAAGCCCCCAGCCGGAGAGAGCGATAAAAGGGCGGCTGGAGGAAGAGGCGAGGAGGCTGGACGCGGGTGCTGAGGCCTGGGGGGGGGGGGGGAGAAAAGAGGCAGGGGGGGTTTAATAATAAATAGCAAGGGCAATATGTATATATCTCTATCTCTCTATGCACCGGGGCTTGGCATGCATGTGAAAGTAGGGATCGCTGGCGGGGTGGAAGTGGCGTTGGGGGGAGGGCGGGGGGGGGGGGGGGGGGGGGAAGGAGGATGTGGGAAGAGGAGGGGGGGGGGGGGGGGGGGGGGGGGGGGGGGAGAAAAGAAAAAAAAGAAAGAGAAAAAAAGAGGGGGAAAAAAAGAGGAGGGGGCAGGCGAGAATCCCAGGGATGCAATATGCGGGAGAGGAGGAAGAAGGGAGGAGGAGGAGGAGGAGGAGAGGCGGGCGGGGGGGGGGAATTAAAGGAGTGAATGCGATTTATAGGAGACCGGCTGGGGCGAGCGGCGGAGCCTTTTCTCCGCGCTCAGCTCACCCAGCTCTCTATATAGTGAACTTTGACACCGCGGCTGCAACTTAGCACACGTTGCCATGGCGACCGCTCGCCTTATAAGGCAAGAGGCTGCCTTTGACTGGTCAAAAGCTCGCGGACCTCCCCTCGGCCCTCATTGGTCAGTGTAGCCTTGTGCGGGGCTGGGGAATGGCTTGGAAGCTCGGCAAAGTCCGCGCGGTCCTAAGGCGAGTCCGGTTCGACTCCATCCCTTGACGCGCGCGCGCGCGCACGCACACACACACACACACACACTCTCTCTCCCCTCTCCCCCCCCTCCCCCGCCGTTTTGCCATCCATCGCTCTGAACCGTCTTCCGTCTGTCTGACTTTTAAAGTTTTATTTTATTTTAATTTTTTCCCCTTCCCTTTCCTCCTCTCTGCATCCTTTCTATTCCTTCTTCCCAATTCTTTTGAGAGGGGATTTTTTTTTGGGGGGGGGGGACGACTCGGAAACAACAGTAGGATGATGAGAATACATCATCATCATCATCATAAGTAGTATGAATAGCAGTAGTATCACAGTATAGTAACAGTGTACTCAGAGATCCCTCTTGTATGGCCGCGGATTCTTTTTGGGTAGACCTGAACTTGGTTTTGAAGCTGGGATTCTACACGAGGGGCGTTAGGCAAATTTGCAACCCTCTTTGGGAAGAGAAGTCCTTCCCTCAGGGGTTGCGTTCCCTTACCTCTGAAAGGCGGACCTGTTTGCAGGAGAGTCCCCCTGGGCTTTATGGAGCACTGTTCTTGAGGCTGAACCGGTTGGAGGGGGAAAAAAAAATCCCATTTGGGCTACAGTGGGAATTCGAGATATCTGGGCGAAAGATTTGAATCAACGCTTTGAGCAACTAAGATCAGCTTCAGCGTTGAAGTACCCATTAGGATCCATCGCGGATTCACGTTCTACAGGTACAGAGAGTGAACTTGTAGCCACCTGACACCTCAACAGGATAATGATAATAATAATAATAATGCAACCAACCATCGTGATAATAACACGGCCCGACCTCTTTAGAAGTCGAAACGCTTAGAGTCTCTTTAATATTCTCACGCTGATCTTGCGGTTTGCCCAGACTTTAAAAAGTCTAACTTGATCTCCCCGTCTGAGCCCAGCGGTTAAAGCTGGATTTCCAAGCTGAATATTTACAAAACCCCACATCTCTAAGGTTAAACCTCTGCTTTCTTTAACTCTGGGGCAGAAAGGGTCTTCCCTAAAAGGTAGAGAGAGACCCAGCCTAGTTTTCTTCTGCAGAAAAACTCTTGCAACCTGGCTGGAGGCTCAACGCAGAGAGAATCGGAGAGAGGAGATGGTGACCAACTTTAGAACAGTGACCTTAAACTTCACAGTTCCCTTGAGATCCCCGACATTCTTCTCTGCCCCACCGGTGATGATGATGGTGATAATAATAATTGTCTCCCATTTGGATGACTTTTGCTCCACGTTTCACACATACACGAGAACGCCTTAGTAACAAGACGCGTGCACCACTTCAGGCTGCTGCTATGTCACCCAAAAGGTTCATACCCAGATGGTTGTCTTGGGACAAGGCAAGGAGAACAGAAGGGGGAAAAAAAAAATAAGACCAAGCAGGATTTTATTCCCAAGAAAACACACTAAAAACCACGGAAGGGGGAAATTTCAGAGGTCCGTCCCTGCCTCCTGTTCAGACGATTCCAGTTCTTCCTCTCAACCAAGTCGCCTTTATTTAGTTCACCACAAAATAAAATAAAATAAAAACCACACCAAAAGGAAACATCCCAACATTATGAGGGATCTCCAGAACAACCCAATTAGATTTAAAAAACAAACAAACATTATAGTCTGAGCTGAAGGCAAGCAATGGAAATCCAGACCTAAGAAGGGCTGGATAGAGGTTGCCAATATCGGCAAAGAAATCCATTTTCCCCGAGAAGGCAAACCAACCAATAACTAAATAAAAAGTCTCAAAATTGGACGGGAAAAGAGAATAGACACCCGTACAAATTATGCAATGCGGCTTATATGGATGCGGGTGGATGTGGTGGATATCTAGACACGCGTAGAGCAATCTGTACGAACATATTCCTATGTGTATGTGTGTGTGTGCTGAATATACCATATATATAAGTGTATTTAGAGAAACGGGGTTAAGTTAGACACATTGGAAGGCAGCAACAACATCTCAAGAGTTCGGGGGTCCCGCAAGGACATTCCTCATTTGCCCCGTTGCAATCTTAGACCTTCATTTCCGCTCTTCATAATACACTTATTTTTTGAAGTGAGTGGGGAGAGGACAGCAAGGAAGGAAGGCTGCTATTAAAAGCTCGCAGGTGTGTGGAGAAAAGTCAGGAAAAATGGAAATATGAGCCCGTGCTCGCTTCTGGCCCAGTTGGAAACTCCGCCATTCCTGCCCCTTCCTCTGGTCAATTTCGAGGTGAAGGTGAAAAGCCCCCTCTGTCCTCAGGATGGGGCCCGTTCGAAGATCTCTCTCTCTCTCTCTCTCTCTCTCTCTCTCTCCCTCCCCTCTCTCTTTCTCTGGTTTCTCTTTCTGTCTATTCCTCTCTCTCTCTTATTTGCTAGAATAACACGAGAATATATATATATATATATATCCCTTACACACACCTCTCTCTTTCTCCCCAGTGCAAAATCGTCGAGCCGTCGGGTGGCCACGACCTAACTCCTTGGCCCCCTTTCCCGTCCACTCAGCACTAAGAAACACACCCGCTTCCATGCGTATGCAGGCTGAGTTCACACAACAAGTTTAAAGCAGGTCACAGAGAGATTAGCGGCTGGGGGAGAAGCGAGGCTAGCTTGGGTTAACCTTGTTTGTGGAGGTTGGGGAGGGGGGGGGCGCGCACGGCCGGGCCGAACCCAGACCGCTGGGTTAGGGAATACCCAGGGCCCATTCCTCCAGCGGGTTAACTTCAGTCACCAGGTGAACCTGTTGCCGGTTGAATTCGGCCAGAGAAAAGCCGCAGGAATCGAGCTGGCTCTCTCGCAACCTCCGCGGGGGAAGGGTCTCGATTTCTCTTGCGCGACTTCTCGCAGGCAGGGTCGGCCCGAAGAAGCCAGCAGGGGGGAAATGAACAGCAAACCGGAGAGCCGGAGGTCGTTTTCCCCAGCACAAAGGCGATCCGAGAGAGAGAGAGAGACACAGAGAGAGAGACAGAGAGAGACACACACCGAGAGAGAGAGAGAGAGAGACTTGCGAGGAGAAAGGCGGAGACGGCGGCGGCGGCTTTGTCCCGCGCGGAGTTTTTCTGGACCCACGCGAAAGAGACACGCATTTGCCACGGGAAGGGGACGCGCGGAGAAAAAGGGAGCTGCCAAGCAGATCCAGTGGCGGAGCGCCGATCCGCTTTCCCTTCTCTTCCAAAGCGCTGTCGGCGTTGCAGGCGGCCGGGGCGGGCCAGGATGTTGGCCGGCGGCGGGAATACCTGGCGGGGACGTCTGTGTGTGTCTCTGTGTGTGTGTGTTCAGGGTTAGTCGCAGGTAGCCCGCGTCGCGCGCGAAAGGAGACCCGTCCCAGCGCGCAGAAGAAGTCAGGGATAACTCAGCTAGCTGGGATCGTCGTGGGCCGGCTGAACGCGGATCCTCCAGGGCCCTCCATTGCAAGGAAGGAGGCTACATTTCGTGGTCGGGGACCCCCACTCCCACCCCTCAGCTTTTACGTTTCTCCCCGAGGATGTGTTCTAGAAGGCGGCGCAGTAACTAACTTTGGGTGGTGGCGACAGACGGC